TTTCTGGAAAATCAGCCGCTTTTCCAGAAAAACTTGCCAGCTGTCTACACTGGCCGCTTGAATTTCCGCAAAAGTACTGACTTCCTACTGTAAGAAATCAATGCTTCTTGCGGAAATACTAGTCTGCTCTTGTTCAGGCAAAAGTCCCTTTTGCGCAAAGCTTTTGTGCAAAAGGGCCAGTGTAGACAGCTCAGATTTGTTTTCCGCAAAAAAGCCCCGATTGCGAAAATGGCGATCGGGGCTTTTTTTGCGGAAAAGCGCGTCTAGATTGGCACGGATGCTTTTGCGCAAAAAGTGCTTTTGCGGAAAAGCGTCTGGGCCAATCTAGACGCTCTGTTCCGAAAATGCTTTTAACAGAAAACTTTTCCGTAAAAGCATTTCCGGAAAATCATGCCAAAATAGATGCAGCACAAATTCAGTGAGCAACCAACAGGGCAGTAGCCAACAGGAGAGTTTGCCTGGAAAACATCTAAGAGGCGCTCAGGTAAGTGTGGCTTTTGGGGGGAGCTGTGTTGTAAGCTGGTGGGGTGAGTATCAAAGTGTTTGTCTGTGAGCATTTGTTTGACTGTGTTTGAAGGGAGGGTGGTAAAGTGTGTTCTGGAGTGGATAAGACAGTTGCCTATAAAAGAACAGGGTGGGGGGTCTGAGTCCTATCCCTCCTGGGCACCTCTATTCCCATCCTGGGATGACTTTCTAGTATTCAATTTAGTGGGTCTAGTATAGACCTGTAAATCAAATGCTGAAGTAAGCCCCCATTGGTGTCTGGTACTCCTCCTTCTGTGAGGAGTAAGGGAAGCTGATGGGAGCATTGGCTTTCATCAGCCACCCTCTGTGTGGATGCCATCACAGCGCGGCTTAAGGTAAGCTGACTCCAGCTACACATTTTGCGTAGCTGGAATTGCGTACCTTAAGGCGACCTGCCTGATCTAGTATAAACCAGGCCTGAGTCTTAAGTTTCTGGGGCACCAATAATGGCTTTCATTAGCACATTTAAAATTATAAACCGATTCACAGTTTATATTTCTAACTTCATATACAAGCACATACGTAGGCTATACAGATTCAGTACACTGTAATATTAAAATGGGTAGGTTACATGACCTGTTTTGCATGAAGCATCTTTGAGTTATGCATATTCATATCCACAAGCCAATATTCATAAGGCATGGGGAGGGGGGGAGGCTGTGACAGCTCATATTTTAGTTCTAACCCTTTGTGACTCTTCTACAATTACTTGATTCCAGAGACCCTCCCATGTATTTGTGTACTAATCTTTTTTCCCATTACTTTCGGGTCATCACACTCAGATTCAGTTTCCCCACTCTCTTTCTGTCTAGTTGTGTCAATCAACAGTTTTGGGGAACCCAACTATGATAGGCATGTTTCTCAACAGTATTAAAACATGGTTTGCTCTTGCAGTGCAGATGGGACCTAACTATCTTGCAGTCTGGAAAGGACCCAGCTTTGCTTGTTGTATGACTCCCAGACACAGGCAAAATACAATTTGTTCCCATTTATCCTTTCAGGCAACCAAAATCGTACTGAGAGGGAAAGGTGTGCAACTATGCTGTGCCATGTCCAGCATGTTTTATTGTTAAAATGGGTACAGCTAACTTTTCCAGTGCAATCCACACAGCAGCTTTTTTCCTGCCACAAGCATGTTGGTTTATCCACATCTACCATGCTGCATAGCATCACGGAATGCTAGAACTGGAAGGGACCTTGGGAGGTCATCAAGTCCAGTCCCCTGCCCTCACAGCAGGACCAAACACCATCTAGATCAGTGGTCCCCAACGTTGCGTGGCTGCCCATGGGCCGTGCGCCTGGGGCCGGCCCTGGCATGTGCCACATGCCCGGGGCCAGGACAGGCCACACTCCCGGGGCCGGCCCTGTGCATGTGCCGCAAGCCCGGGGCCAGAACAGCCCACGTGCCCGGGGCTGGCACCATGCATGTGCTGCGCGCCGGGGTCGGGGCCAGCCCAGGTGTTTTGGCGGGAGCACATAATTGCCCTGGCGGGCGCCATGGAACCCATGGGCACTGCTTTGGGGACCACTGATCTAGATCATTCCTAGCTTGTATGAGGGTAATCTTGAAAAATGTGAGTAGCTATCTCTGGGTATGTCTACACTACCACCCTAGTTCGATCTAGGGTGGTAATGTAGGCAACCAGAGTTGCAAATGAAGCCCGGGA